TTGAGAGCTTTGTATGTTAGAAGTAAGATTTTGAATTCTATTATGTATTTGACGGAGCCAAAGGAGAGAAGCTAAAACTGAAGAGATATGATCTCTCCTGCTAACCCTCATTAAAACTCTGGCAACAGAATTTTGGATCAACTGAAAACTTAAAAATATATATTTTATTTGCACACACAAATAATAAACAATTGCAACTGTCAAGCCTAGACATGTTAAATTTATGGGCAAGGTTTTCTGCCTCATTTCTGGACAAGACGTTTCTAATTTTAGAGATATTATGCAGGTGGGGGAAAGCAGTCCCTGTAACTTTTTTAATGTGGGATTTAAGACATATCCTGATCAAAAATAACACAAAGATATATTTTTTACATTACCTCTGAAGCTCAGAGGTGATCAGGCATTTTCAGTCATGGGCCCCGAACTCTGGCACAACCTGCCCCCCAGCATTAGGCAGGCCACCTCCCTTCCTGTGTTCAAATCTCTGCTAAAAGCATCCGTTTTCTTTGGCATTTCACACAGTGTGAGTTAACTTAGTATTTTTTGTTTTGTGTTCCTATGTTTTTATTGCTTTTAATTAATTTTTCATTATTATCATTAGTGTGTTGTGTTTTTTTGCATTAATTTTACTCTCATTGATGTTATTGCTAAGCACTTTGGTAACAGCTTCTGTTTTAAATGTGCTTTATAAATAAAGTTAACTTGATAGAGAACTTTACTAATTGGCTTTTTTATGTATGTGAATGTTTCTGTAAAGTGCCCTGAGACAACTTTGTTGTGATGTGGCGCTACATAAATAAACTGAATTGAATTGAAATTGACTTGACATTAGAAGTAGAGGCCCAAATTAATGTCATCCAGAGGAAGAGAAAGGCTGCAAAGCTTATTCCTAAGATACTCTGGTCCAAAAACTACAACCTCAGTCTTGTCTGAGCTTAAAAGCAGAAAATTAAGGGTCATCCATTTTTTTTATGTCTTTAAGACATGCTTGTAATCTAATTAACTGATTAGATTAATTGGGTTTCATGGATAAGCATAACAATGAAAATTTATCCCATACTGTTTAATAACTTTACCTAACGGAAGCATGTATAAAGTATGAGTATTGGTCCAAGCACTGAACCTTGAGGAACTCCATTGCTGACTTTGGTGTATTAAAAAGATTCATTATTTACATTTACAAACTGGAATCTTTCAAATAAATATGATTTACACCATTTTAGAGCCGTTCTTGTTATCCCAATATCATGTTCAAGCCTCTTTAATAGAATATTGTGATCAACTATCAAATGCAGCACTGAGGTCTAACAGGACCAGTATAGACACAAGTCCATTGAGGCCATGAGAATATCATTAGTAACTTTCACCAGTGCTGTTTCTGTGCTATGATGAGCTCTAAACCCCGACTGAAATTCCTCACATTATTTCCATTTGTATGTTCGCACAATTGATTTGCAACTAATTTCTCAAAAAAATATTTAGATGAACATTAGATTAGATACAAGTCTATAATTGGCCAGAATCAAGATCAGGTTTCTTAAACTGTTTAATTATTGTGACCTTATAGAGTTGTGGTACATAACCATTCATTAGATTCAAAATGTGGATATTAAGGGAAATACCTCTTTAAATAGTCTAGTTGAGATCTAGCAGACATGTTGATGGTTTGGGTGAAACTATTATTTTTGACAATTCAAAAAGCTCAAAAACAGTCCAAACATAAATCACGTTCAAGTGACATTTCTAAAGCTGTCTCATCTGACAAGAAATCGGAGGCATTAGTAGGAAGGATGGTTTGAATTTTCTCTAATTTTAATAATTTTATTTATAAAAGAATCTCATGAAGCCATCACTGCTTATAGCTGTAGGGATACATGGCTCGATAGTTAGGATTTTTCATTAGTCTAGTAGCTATAATACTGAACAGAAACCTGGGGTTATTTCTATTCTCATCTATTAAAGATTAATAATATACAGTTCTAGCTTTACGAAGGGCTTTCTTATATGTTAGCAGGCTATGACTCCAAGCTAAATAAATTTCTTCCACGTTGGTGGAGCGACATTTTCTTCCCAGCTTTCTAGATGCCTGTTTTAAAGTATGTAACTCAGAACTGAACCAAGAAGTCAGTTTCCTCTGATCACTTTCTTTTTCAGCAGAGCAAATTTATCAAGTGAAGTTTGCATTGAAGTTGTAAAATTATCCACCAGATCATCTAAGTCACAGCTCTATTCCTGCTCTCTGTGCTACACACAAACTGACATACTTACTGCAGATAGTGATTATCTGGTGAGCCCTTCCATTTTTATGGTTGACGTGTGTGTGTGTGTGTGTGTGTGTGCGTGTGTGTGTGTGTGCTTGCGTGAATGAACATTGGTGCTAGTGAGATGTCAGCGTTGTTATTGTAACAGTCTAGTCCTACAGCCCGAGGCTGTAGGACACAAAAACACACTGTCTCACTGAGCCTGTCGTCTCTGTTCAGCCTTCTTTTCTCAGCGTCCATCTCTCGCTTGCCTTCACTCATGATTTTACATTTCTAAAAAAAAAAAATAATAATAATTTTTTTTTTAAAAGCTTAGAAGAAACGCTGCTTTAGCTGGGTCAACGAATACTGAAAAGTAGTAAGTAAGAAAGCGTTGAATAAAAGAACTCCAGGAATCTGTACAACTGGTGGGGGAGATGAGCTGTGATCCATAAAACCACACACAGGGGGGTTCTGTTTGTGCTGTGCTGGTTAAGATGCCAGTAATGGTTAAGCCAGCAGACTGGGGTGAAAGTTCAGTACTGTGGGATCCCAGCATTCTCACTCTGATTAAAATCTGTAGGACAAAATGACGTGGACAAGTGTAAATATTCTTGAAGGATGAAGGTCATGTCAGCCATGAAATGGTGAATCAAAGAATTGTGAACTGTCGAACTTACTTAGTAACGTTATTATTGTTTGTCCTGATTTAGACTTAGCTTCCTGATGCCCTGTTCCTACTGACAGAAATGTGGCTAAATTAATTTTATTTAGTTTTGTGGGGGTGTTTGTGCTTCTCATCTATATGCAGACATTTTGGTCAAAAAAAAGAACAGGACATTTTTACCAGGGCTTGCCAAAGTATTTTGTTGTTTGTTTGTATTTATATACTTGGAATAAAAAATGACACTACAGCCTACTTTATACATGCCCAGTATATATCTGTTGTTCCTTCTTTCACATCTAGCTCACTCAACCCTGGCTAGAGCTGCTTTGCCGTTGATAAGTGGTACTTCACTCGGTGCTTGTCTTATCGTTTTTTTCTCAGGTGTAGGTGATTTGACACTGTGACTTGTTTTCCCGCTCTGTGGGTGGGGTCGTCATTGCAAAGCAGGCCATATTGTAACAGGTCATTTTGTTTGAGCACGTTATGGCCCTAATCACCCTATAATTGGACTTCACATTCTTTAGCTTATCCCAGCACTGCTTATATGTCCATGCATCATCGCTGATATCGCTCTGTAAATGTGCTCGTTTCTTGTGACGTCGTCCGTCAGCACGAGGAGGAAGTGGACGTTCAGATGTAGTTTACCATTTTGCTGGGCGGGTCATCTAGGGACATAGCTCTGCTGGCCAATCAACGGCGGCTGTCTGCTTAAATCAAAATCGGCACCTCGGAGGAGTCTGCTTGGAGCCTCAAACATGGTGGTCCCATAAACTGGGTTGAGTGGGTGTGGGTGCCAGCAGTGGGCAAACCCTTAGCTGGTGCCATGTGATGCAGAAACAGTGAGTTGACGATGACCAAGCACCATTTGTACCATTAATTCAATTCAATTCAATTCAAAAATACTTTATTAATCCCAGAGGGAAATTAAATGTTGTTGTAACTCATCATCCTGGTTTCATTAAAGAGTTGTTATAGATGCTGATGGCTGTGGGCAGGAAGGATCTCTAAATTTTGGTCATGTATTTAAAAGGTAAAATGCAACGTCAAATGAAAAAATGAGCTTCCTTCTTTTCAACAATATATATTATATGGATGGTCTCGGTTCATTTATGCTTCCTTTTATGATTGTCTACTGTTGTCATCACTATTTATTAAAATCAGGTCTCTTATAGATTATGAGTCCCCAAGGCTCCACGGGATTAACCTGTATAAATAATGGTTGAATGAATGAAAAAAACAAGTTTAAAGTCCTGCCTCTTGATGTAAGTGAACAGGATTTTGCCCTGGTTTTAAAAAAATACAAATACATGTTAATATTTTTCCCGGTTGTTGACTCTTCACGTAGCTCTTACCACACTGCTATATTATAAAATATAAATGTTTCTACAAAATAAAAAGAAAAAGTGTAATTGTAATTAAATCTTTTTTGCCTAAAAGAAAGATCATTTAACACCATGACTCTGTAGGGAAAAATAGGTTGGACTGAAGCCCCCTATACTGAGTGCACAGACTGGTTTCAAAAATGGCTGCTCCCCTAAACTGAGTATCGCTGGCTTCAAGTCCCAGCAATGAGAGAAGACGAAACATTTGGTCCAGCGTCATAAAATGTGTCGATGCTTCTTCCTTTGTTTTGTTCTTTTGAATATGAACAGTATAGCCACCTACTGGTCTGGCATATAAACTACAGTTTTATTTTTCATGTAGATGTAGAAATGTATATCAGGAGTAGTGTACTGAGAGTTTGATCTTCACAAGGAATAGATTTCAAAGCAAAATTTCAGTTAAACTAAAATGTTTTTATCTTTTAATTTTTTTACAATTTTAATGTGACAAATCTTGTATTTTTTATAATCGTCAGTATTGTACGGTTTTTCAACAACAATTTAGTTTAGCTGGCGCATACTTATTTTATTTTTCTTTGAGACAGAACTTAGAATTATAAAGTTCCTGTTGCAATTTCTGTCGTGAGGTTTTTATTATTTTTTTTGTTTCGTTTTTATTTGTTTAGATTTAAACTAACGCTGAATACATGTTGGTGTCTGAAGATTTGTTTCATATGAACACACATTTATTTTCGTCTTGTCCATCCTCAGTTGGGGCAGGTGGAGTGACATTCTGGCTCATGGTCGCTTCAAGCGCCCCCTGAAGGAGGCTGATGTGGAGACGATCTGCAGGGCCCTCCTGGCCTACTGCCTGCTGCACTACCGTGGAGACGAGAACATCAAAAGTTTCATCTGGGACCTGATCACTCCATGTGAAGATGGGACCACCAAGACACTGACCAATCACTCTGGTAATTCATCACCCCCTAGTTTGAACAAATATGTGACAGATATGCTGTAAGAGCATCACATGACTTTACCAGCAGGGTTACAAATCAAAGAATAATTGACTTATCTCCAGTTTCACAGAAAGGGAAATGTATTAGACCAACTGTACAACCTGTTAATTTTTTCAATGAAAGATTGCCTGCAGAACAAACAACCAAAGTGACTTTAGGCTGTGATTACTTGTACCGTATTTTTCGGCCTATAAGTCGCTGTTTTTTTTTTCATAATTTGCCTGCCCTGCATCTTTATGGATTTTTTTCCCATATTTATAAACTAATTTTTGGCTGCGATATGACTGTTTTCATTCATTCTGACTAAATGAGTAAAATTTAAAAATAGAACAGTACCATTTTCAGCCACTTGATGGCAGCAGAGTAGTAGTTGCAGTATGTCATGCCGTATAGGTAAACGTGGCTATAATGACAAATTCAAAAAAGTTCAAGACAAAAACAACTGGACTTTATTTATTATACTTTATTGTTTTTGTCTTGAACTTTTGAATTTACCATGTCCTTGATGATTGAGAATCTTTAACGACACAATCGGCTTGCCATAGTCCCCCCCCCCCCCCCCCTCCCACCACCTTCGTTAAGCTCTCTGCTTGGAGCAACCGTCAAAACAGCTGCGACTCCCCGGTGAAATGCAGCTAATTTAACAATTCAAGTGCATTTATTAAGTAAAAGTTCAACTGAGACACACCTTTACTATAATTTGGAGCAAAGAAATAATTGTTTGGGGTGCTTTTCTTGTTCAATTTTGAAGAAACGAGCAGCGTTCCTCCTCTTTTTTTTTCCTCCCTCTGCACGCTCCCGGAGCACCGAGGCAACGAATGCAGCCCAGAATGTAGTCCTTTTATTAAAGATAAGTTAGACTGAGACACACCTTAACTATCATTTTGAGCAAACAAATAATTGTTTTTAAGTGTTTAACTTGTTAAATTCTTATTAAAGTCCTCCTGTGCACACTCCCACGGCCGCCATTAGTCAGCCCATCGATTTTTGGCACAACACCGGTCCACATTTCTGGGTTGTCAGCGGTGACGCATAATAGATGAGACGTATATAGCAAAGTGACATCTTTATGGATTTTTCCACTTTTTTTAGAAATATTTGGACTGATGCAACTTGTAGGGCGGTGCGACGGGTACGGCAGAAAATACGGTAGTTATTTTTTTGGATTCTGCAGCCATTTAACTAGAAGTCAAAGCTGAAGGCCTTTTACACTTAAACTTTGTTTCTAATGGGCAGCACTTGAAAACATAAATGTCTGCAGCAGCTTCTCCTGACGTCTTGTGGTTATTTTCCTTTGAAGAAATCTTGAAAAGATCAAATCACTTTTGTGCTGACCTGTGATTTGTTTTCCCTTCTCTTCTTTGGTTGGAAATACATTTTGACAAATGTGACTACATCAACTCTACGAGGGGCCTCATCTGCTGTATTTGTTAAAGAAAACCCACCAGTTTTCTCACCATACTTTATGCATCCTGTCAGACCTCCTGCGCGTTGTCGACAGATGCTCCCTCCCGTCCTACGATCTTCCCGAACATCTTTGGTTTTCAAGTGTGAAAACAGTCATGCAAACATGCACTACATGGCATGGAAGATGGGAAATTATTCTGTTAAACAGGAAGAATATACATTTGATATCCTAGTTTATTTTTTAGAAATGAGTTTAAACAGAACTGCATTAATGGGGTATTATATAGGTGCATATGCACAAAAGGAGGAGTTTAAACTTTTACTCTATAAACAAACAAGTTAAAAATCTACAAAATGTAATTTTGGACACCCCTGTACTTTATCTTGCTGGTGTGTTTCTGCCCTCCCAGGTCTCTCCACGCCTGTTCCCAGGGGCAGGAAGGGCAAGAAGGGGAAACTGACGACTCCGACTCCACAGACTCCACGAGCCGACTGGCTGGCCAGCTGCAACCCGGACCACTTGCTGCAGGAGGATAGTTATAAGAGGCACCTGAAGCACCACTGTAACAAGTACGGAGCTTTCATACGTGAAATATGGCTTCTTAAACGGGTATTAACGTAAAGTCGTATGATCAGGGAGTATAGATTTAACTGTGGCTCTAAACAGTTCATGGATACAAGCAGCACATGTTTGTTGTACAGCATAACTTCAAAAAACTTGTCTTCTGGTTTTCCTCTTGCACACACACACACACACACACACACACACACACACACCCCGTCACTTG